GCTTGTTTTCTGTTGATTATGCGTTGTTTTACTATGTTTTACTTCTGTCCGAACAAATTCATACAACAAATAACCAGGCACAAACAGCAACATATGAGATATACTTATACTGCGAGGCTCATGGCATGTGTCCTTCCACGTGCATGGCCAGCCCGCCTCCCAGATAATTCATTTTATGCGGGGCGTTGAGGACCCCAGCGGCTCTGATACCAGCGGCTCGCGAGGCGAATGGGCGAACCCGGCTTCCTTATATACTTGCCCAGAACCGACCTTTCAACGTTTAGCTTTTCTAAGTCCCCCAGTATTGCCCTTTCTCACCCTTTTTTTGGGGAGGCTTCCCCTACTAAAATAGATTACAGAAAATGGGTACCCTTATTCTAACCTCTCTACTGGAGGACCTAGCCAGAGCCGACCTTTTCACGTTGAGGTTTTTGGTTTCCATGAGTTGGTTTCCATATGGCCATGGGGCATAACCTATGGCTTCATTTTGGGGTGGGTGAACATCCATTTGCCACCTATGTTGATGTTCACCAGGGGTACAGGGTATTGACCCACAGCCGTATGTTGACAAGGTTCCAAACGATGATCGCCTTTCCAGGTTTTTAAGGGGCAAGTGAGCTTCTGGATGGGTAATATTCCTAGAGGAACTGTCATTTTCCAAGAGCAAGCTAAGCTTCCCAGAGGGATCCAAGGACGGGTAAGTTTGGTCCAGACCCCCTACAGTTTTCACGCCCGGCTTTTTTGGATTCCTTTTTTCCCGTCGGTTTGGTTGAACACAGACAGGCAGCACTGATGTCAGTTCGCTTCTAGTCACTGTCAAATTTCTTACCACACCTGTAGGAATGGACACCCTTGGTGATGCAGTTTGCTGTTTCAACTGAAAGACGGCAACTGAAAGACAGAGGCCCGGATTTTCGGTTCCAACTTGAGGTTTTGGGCTTGTGTTCTTGGTTTTGATCCGGTGCAACGCATTTGAGAGGGAATCTGGAAAAGACACCACAACTTCATCTAGGCTGGTTGATCCCAGGTCACCAATTCCAGCCGAGCCGAGTGAATTCAGCTTCGGGTCTCCATTTGGCTTGACGTTGTGAAAATTGAGACAAAGCACCCAGCACAAAGCAGAGACAACGGCGCCGTCTCCTAGCTGGGTGCCAAAATCTTGCTCAAGTTCCACAAGCCTTTCGCCCTTCTCCGTCGCCCACGGTTTTGGCCGCTTCTGTGACTGTTTAAATAGGGAAAAAAACCCGGTGATTCCCCCAGTTTAGGAGCCCCATTAATCACTCAGAAGTCCAGTGGCCATGGAAGACAAGCGGCCCCCTTCGGACCGAAACGAGGCGCGGAGTCCATCGGAGATTCCGCGGCGAGCCACTTCTCCATGGAGTCGGAGTCGGGGTCGTCGACCGGGCGGTCCACCACAGCTCGGAGACTTGGATCAAACCCTCTACTCCAAGAACCTTTAAAAATAAAGGATGCGAACGAAAAACCTGGTTTTGAGCCTGTGGCTTACCGAAAACAGGGTTTTCCAACCGAAAACCCGGTTTTACTTTTAAAAACCCATACAAAAACCATACAAAACCCGTACAAAACCCATACAAAACCCGTACGTTTGTATGCTTTTCATAAAGCCGGGTTTTCCCGCGAAGAACCCGGTTATTTTCGAGAACCTTTAAAATAAGAGGTTCTTGGAGTAGAGGGAACACTCAGACTGAAGCATCCGGTGACACAGTCTGTATCCCTCAGCTGGGTGATTTCAGGGGCAAAAGAGGAGATAAGGGAACCCCCAACCATGGGGCTGGTTCTCTTTTGGCATTTGGGGCATGGGGCATCCTTTCCTGTTGGCTTCCCTGTGTCCCCACCTCTTGGGGGCAAAGTCGTTCGAGCAGCCAGACCCGGCCTACTTAAACAGGAAACCAACACTGAGGTTGTTTAGGAAATTGATTTATGGTTTCAACGGAATAATGGCTTGGCTCAACTTTCCTGAGGCACCAACCTGAAAGAAGCAGCACGGGGGTCAGAAGCCCAAACAATCAACAAGGAATGGAGAGCCAAGCAAAAACCTGCAAGGGGACCGGGTGCGTTGCTCGTTTTCCACGGCTTTTTTCTCCTGTGTCACCCTGCTCGTTCTCTCGAGGATGGGCAGCGGGGAGCCCGTCAGAGCGGCCAGCATGCTCAGTTCAGACTCAGAGCGCAGCACGGGATCGGCTGGGCAGGAGCCAGCGTCAAGGTCATTGAGTCGTGGGACCCGACACCGCAGGATAATCCAATTTGCATCCAGTTGGGTATGAATTTCAATTGGGAACCCCACCAACCACATTTGAGGGGGGTTCTTAATGAAAATCAGAGGCTCGTTCAGTAGCAGGCTTCAAAGTGACGGCCAAGTCCCCTCCTGGTGACAAGTAAAATCGCCAGGAAACAGAGCACGGCTTTAGCTTTCGTGCTGCTAGGTTTCCGGACGGATGTGGGAATCGGTTAGTTTCTGTTTGAAACTATCCAGCAATTGAATACCCCCGGTTAGCTAAGACCCAATGAGGGTCGAGTCCCTCTTCCGTTGAACCTTCCCTGTTGCCGAAGTAGCCACTCCAAAAGGCCTTCCTTCACGGAACCCGGTAAGCCCAAAGTACCGCCAACCCATCAAGCCTCCCGCTTCAGGCCAAGCAGTATCAAGGTACCTCAACCCGGGATCCATATGCCAAGCCCAACGTCTCCTTGGGTTGCATCTTTAGACTTTAACTTTTTGGGAAATAAAGGTGTTGTCCACTAAACCCCCAATAAGTTAAACTTTTTGCAGGGGGGTCAACAGCAACCAAGTCTCGCAGGAGCCCCGAGCTTCTATGGCGCGAATGCCCACCATCCTGGAGTCCGAGTCTCGCGCCTCCCGCTCCTCCAGCCGCAGCGGCGTTGGAAGTCGGGCCTCGCAGTCGCGGGCCAGCCAGGCCAAGCTGGCCAGGCCCAGGGTCGGCCCCGCAGGGAGTTGTTTGTTTTTTGGTGTTTTTAGCACGGACTCGGTGTCTAGCACTGGCTCGGGCAAGGCATGGGGCGGTTGGACTGTCGGTTGGTTGGCTGGTTGGTTGGCTGGTTGGCTGGTTGGTTGGTTGGTTGGTTGGTTGGTCGGCCACTTGGTTGTTTTGTCGACCAATTGGTCCGTTGGGTGGTTGGCTCGTTGGCTGGTGGCGTTGTTTGTGCTTGCTCCACTCTGCCGGGGAGTGGGGTGGGGTCTGCGCCAAAAACCTACTTTGGCAAATCAAGAAAACCTACCCAAAACCCACCTCAAACCCACCCTAGTTAGGCCCACCCTAAACCCACCCTATGCCAAGCAACCCTAAACCAACCCGCGGGAAACCCACCCCCAACAACCTCTAAACAAAGCAACTCCAGCCATGCCATGCCCGACAGGTTTACTTTTGATGCCTATTAAGTTTTGTGTGATGCCGCAGTTTCCAGTCTGTTTGCTGTGGGTTGCAGCAAACTCAAGCAGGTATTTGTTGATGCTAAATCAGTGTTTCTTGAATTCAAGAAAGGCGTGTTTCTTGCCTCGCCAACCTTGAATGCCTTGTCAATCTCGCCAAATACCTTGCTTTCCGTCTGGAAGCTTTTCAGCCGCATCTTGAAATCCCCTTGCCTGCCTGCCTGGCGGCCGTTGGTCTTGAAAGGCCTCCGGAGTTGGGCCAGGCTTTGGTGCTCCTCAAATTGAGGTTCACCCCTTGGTCGCAGAGCAACTGCGCAGGATCTGGCGGTTTGCTGTTCCCCAAACGTGAAGCCATGCTGTTTGAAGGATTCGGCAGATCGGAATTGTTGGACTTCCTGCCCCTATTGCAAGAGAGCAATGGTGATTGTCCAGTATTGATTGTTCGTTTGCTTGCTTATTTGTTTGCTTTTCGGTTTGTTTGGTTTATTTGCTTACTGCGAAAGTTGGCAGTTGGCCTGGGGCCGCAAGGGATGAATTCTTGGAGGCTTTGGGCGCGGAGATCTCCATACCCAAGACCCGACAGAAGCACACATTCAGGCAATTGCGAGCCCGCCTCCGACGGGGAAGGCCGAAAATCAAAGCGCACACAGCTTCGGATCATTCCCAGCAAGCCCGTGCTACTATGCAGATGAATGTTAGACAAAAAGCCTCTTTGGGAAGAACACATGAAGGTACACCCACAAATTTAAGCCGTTGCAATTTGTTATCTTTGATATGTCTGATGGAAACTAAGATTTTTGGATTGATCTAACGGTCAAACTTTGTGATATATTATGTTTTCTTTGTTCTCCTTGATCTAAGCGACACGTTTTTGGGTTAGCAAGACTAACAGGGACATTGCAGGGGTCTTAAAACGAACCAGGCCTTGTGCAGATTCTTTCCGTTGGTTGACTCTCTTTGTCTCCCGATCCCCGGACGTCGCTCGCGAATCGGTCTTCGTCGTCCGCGGAGGCGCGGGCTGTGCCGCTTCACCGCGCCGGAGGCGGCGAACTTCTGCGGCCTCGAGATCTCGCGCCAGGCGCGGACGGCGGGTGCCGACGCTGTGCCGCCGCTTGTTCGTCGCGGGGCGTTTTTCGAACGCCGGGGACTGCTGCGTTGTTGCGGGGGAGTCATTTCTTGGTTCCCACGGGAACAAGCTGAGTTCCAGGTTTCAAAGGGCAGGAGCCTTTTCATTTATCGGGTTCGAGCCAGGAGTTCCTTCAATTGCAGTCCATGAACTAAAAATATGTTGTGGTTACAATTTGATGATGGAGACAAAATTATTGAGACTTTGCTTGTGGGGTCATGGTTTCAAGCCGGTTCTAGGCTCATTTGCCCAGAGCCTTTCCGTAGTTTGGTCCACCTAGTCCAGGTTTGAAAAGGTTCCCCATTTATTTCTTCCAGTTTAGGAACATGGGACGACCATTGTAGCCAAGATTTGGGAAAACCATGGGACCAGCTCGGCTTTGGGAGTGACCGATATCGTTTGGTCTCTCCAACAAACATGTTCCCCTTCACCCTGTTTGTTCCCCTTCCCCTTTCCAAAAAACAAACACCTTTTCGGTTGCCCTCCCTTTTTAGTCCCCTTTGCACTTTTGTTTGTTGCAACCATTTTTGTTGGCCCCAAAAAGCTGAGGCTTTGATTTCTGATTCCTTTGGTCCAAACAAAAATCCGACCCGAACAAACGGATTTCTCCGCCACTCTCGCAGGAGTGCTCGGGCGAGTCCCTCACGGGGCGGGACCGCACGGCGCTGCTGGTCTTGTTGGAGCAGGCGGAGCACTCCACGGCCGCGGTCCGGGCCCGCCGCGCCGCGGCTGGAAGCGGAAGGGAAAGCAGACGGACAGTGGCCTCTGGTACGGGGTCTCTCGTTGTTTTTTTCTTTTTTTTGCGGGCACCACCCTGGTTTGACGGGTTTCAAAGGGAAGCGAAGAAGGACAACACACAGGTATCCTAGTCCGTTTTTTGTTTTTTTGTCTTTAGGGGTGTGCCTTGCAAGTAAAAATCCTACAAGAAAGGAGGATCTGTCTCGAAAACCGGGTATTCTGGCCATGTAGCCTTCAAAAACGGGGGTTGGTTCCAAAAAAACAGGTTGTGTATTTCAGAACTCGTTGAAAAATAGCCATAGTTAACCGTACAACACCCGTAATGAACCCGTAAGAACCCGTAATCTAAAACAGTGTCCGATAACAAAGTTTTGGATTCAAAAGCCATGTTACTTGACAGACCCTCCTTTTTTCCGTTTCGAATGCACAAGGTGGGGGGCAAGAAAAGTGAACAGTGCCTATTCCTTGTTAGACTCCCAGGTTCGTGAGGGTTTGTCAAGAAATTGATTGCAGTTGTTTGAACCACTCGGGCTTTGGATGCAAGGTTTTGGCTTACACGCCACCTACGCAAGCTTGCAAGGCATACTCCGTGCCTTGTTGTAACCGATTAAAAAATATGTCAGAAAGCCGGGCTTGCCTGCTGTCATATTATATAACAGTCCTTTGTGGTGTCTTGTCATTCGCGGTTTGGTTGTTGGTTTGTCAGTTGGTTTGTTTGCTTGCTTGCTTGCTTGTTTATGCGTTTGTTTGTTTGTTTGTTTGTTTGTTTGTGTGATCCAATACTGAGTCAGCAAGGTCACAACCCTGCATACCCCTCATAGCCAGGTTTAGGCGTCCCTACTTTCGCCCTGGCGTACACAGAGCCCGGCAAACCCTCGTGTGCACAGTTGTCGTTTAAAAGTCAGACCCCCCTTTTGTGGGTATTCCTGCTGTTAAGATACAAGAGAGCATGGCTCCAAACATGGGCTGCTACCTACCCGCCATGTTTTCCACAACCCTGATTTACAACCCCCACCCGGCAGTCTTCCTTTTGAATCCCACACCAAAAACGAATTCCCTCTGACCGGCACAAAATGGGCCCCTTCTTCCCGGGGTGCCACCGGTGGTACCTCAACCAACGAGTCCCAGGCAGCGCGGCGGACGCGGCCGCGCTGCCGCGGCTCTTGGTGGCCCTGGGCTCCGAGCTGTCGCTCCACGGCCGCGAGTGGCGAGCCGCGTCCAACGCCAACGGGGTGCTGTGCCTGGGCCGGGAGCCGGTGCTGCTGGCGGTGCTGGGCCAACTCATCGAGGCGCGGAGGGCGAAGCGGCGAAGCGGCGAAGAAAGCGGGTTTTTGCGCGCAGGTTTCCTCACCCAAGCAGTTATTTGGGTGGCGCCTGTCATCCCATCTTCAAAGAGCCGCTCAATTCTCCCCCCAGTCCCCTGCTCTGCTCGCTTGTTTTCTTCCCCCCTGCCTTTTGCTTTGCTTGCGTTAGGTGCTGGACACCCTGGTGCCGGCAGACAAGACCGAGGAGACCGAGGGCGTCACGATGGGCGGGGAGGCCAAGGTGCAGTACACGGAGTCGGTGCTGGAGTCCTTGAGGAGTGGGAGAGGGCTGGTCACCGGTTCAGTTCTGCTTGCTTGTGCTTGGCCACCTCCCTTCAAGTTCTGTCTGAGTCACCATTTTTTGTTCGTTTTCCGCGACCCCTTCCCTTGAGTCAAAGCCTTGCCCGGCAGTGTGCTGCCAGCAAACGTAAATGTAGACAGGAGGGTTTGGACGACTGCCTTCGGACAACAGCCGCCTGCGCACTTCCATGAGGATAAATTGAGGAAAGGGCAGCACGGAGCCTCCTTCCTTTTCTGCCCTGCCAAGCTTTCAATCGCGCCTTGCCCAGCAATGTGCTCCACTTCCAGCCTTTGCGCGCCATGCATTTCAGGTGCTGCGTATTTGTCTCGCTATATACGCGTGAATTGTTTCCTTGTGTGTGTGTGTGTGCGCGTGTCACTACCTCTCGATGTCGCTGCGCCCGCAAAAACGCGCACAGCCCTGTTGGTGCCATGCCCCGACAGGGCAGTGAAAGGCCAGACGCCTATGTAAGGGAAGGTTCAGGCACACAGGCAAGCACTGCAGCCTCTTGGAGGCTTACTGCGGAAAACACCGGCGCCCCGTCTCGGGAGAACCTTTGAAAGGCTCAGACGTGGTTGCCCGTTCCACCTGCAGAAATGCTAGGACTTTCTGAGTTGTTTCCGACTCTTCAGTCCTTTTCTCGCTCCGGCTCTGCTGTGTTTAAATCACCTTTCTGCACAAACTCCTTGTTTTGTTGGCTTTCTACAAGCTTTACTTCATGTTCCCCCCCGCCCCCCCAGAAAAAATGAAAAGAAAAGGCAAACAACAGCAACACATCAAACAACATACATGCACACACACACACACAACCTCCTTGTTCCCCACTTTCAAGTAGGACGGTCCTGGGCCCCCACGGCTTCCTCCCGGAGACGTTGCAGCTCCTCAGCGCGGCGCCCCACGCGTCGCCGGGCGCCGCCACGGCGCTGCGGAACTCGCTGCTGGCGGCCTTGCGCCTGGCGCTGGCCTGGGAGGCGGGGCTTGGCCCGAAAAGGCTGTGGCTCAGAAAGCCGGTGCCAAAATGGGTTGCCCTGGTAAGTGGAAACATGGGCCAAAACTTGCGTAACCCCTCCTGCTTAATTTTGAGCCACACCCTTAAAACTTGGCGAGGTGCCGGGGCTTGCGGGTTTGTAATTCGGGACCGCTTCAAGGTGGTGGCCCGCAAGGTGGTTGCGCTAGGTTTTGTGGGCTTCTAGAAATTGAGGTGGTGATGGTTGACCTGTCAAGCTGGTGGTTGAATTTGGGACCCTCCGGGCAAGGTGGTTGCCCGCTAGGTGGTGGTCGGTGGTCAAGGTTGCGGTTGACTCGCAAGGTGGTGGTTTCTTTTTGGATTGAACCGCATTAAGCCAGCAAATTTTATTCCCAAAGAAGGCCCCCAAAATGGGATAGTTTCCTCCCCAACAAGGAGACTCCGCTAAACGAAAAGAAGGTATCATCACCCACCCATGGTTTCTTTTTTTAAAACACAAACAGCACTTCTTGGGGACCTTCCACAACAAACCCATGCCACGAACCACCTAGAGGGCAACCACCACCAAGGGCTGCGGAGGGGGGGGTTGCAGGTTCCCTCCACGGTTCAAAAGCCTCTGGACAACGCTCTCGCGGCGGCCTCGACCTACCAGGCGCACCCGGGGGACAAAAGGAGGCCATAGCGATGGGAAACATCCGGGTTGCAAAGACGAGCAACTATTATGTATGTATGTATTATATATTTATTAATATATTGATATGTATGTATGTATGTATGTATGTATGTATGTATGTATGTATGTATGTATGTATGTATGTATGTATGTATGTATGTATGTATGTATGTATGTATGTATGTATGTATGTATGTATGTATGTATGTATGTATGTATGTATGTATGTATGTATGTATGTATGTATGTATGTATGTATGTATGTATGTATGTATGTATGTATGTATGTATGTATGTATGTATGTATGTATGTATGTATGTATGTATGTATGTATGTATGTATGTATGTATGTATGTATGTATGTATGTATGTATGTATGTATGTATGTATGTATGTATGTATGTATGTAACTGTATGTATGTATGTAACTGTATGTATGTATTTATTTATCGCATATACAATGCGTATACTGTTCTCACTTTCTGAAATTCCTGGGCTTTTAAAATTACTTTAGGGAGACTATTTTAGTGGCAGCAACAAATACGATTCGCTTTTGCCAATCCATTGAGAAAGTGAGTGCAATGCGATATGTTTGTACGTGTGTGTGAATTAAGATTTGCCCGTGTTTGCAGGATTGCTTGCAAGTGTTCCTGGGTCCAGCAAATCGCTACCCCTCAAACAACCGAACAACATGTGCAAAACGCAAGCCCTCCTGAAAGCCACACCAGTCAAACCGAGAAAAGAAGCAAATAAACACAAACGCGATACCATGGTTTGTTTGGCGATAGGCGGCCATGATGCAAACATGATCACAGCCAGAAGCACTCAAAGGCAGAGCCTGCACGGGTCGAGCGACGGGTCGACAGGTGGCGCTCGAGACGCTCGAGGCTCTGCTGCGGAAGCTGAGCCTCTCGGCCGGGCAAACCGCTTGTTGCTGGACTGCCCGGGGTTCGTTGGGGGAAGGAAGCCGAGCAGATGCGGGCAAATGGGTGTCTCTGTTTGTAAGGGAGCCCCTTTGCTGGGTGGTTTGCAAGGGAAACCACAAGGAAAGCCTTTCTTTTTTTTTACACACCCGCATAGAACATACACAGCCCCCATAAACCGAAAGATTTGAAAGGGGTTTGGAGGGAGACCATGCAGATTCTGGAAAGAGCACAACTATCCATGCTTGGTTTTGAGTTTCGTCTTGGGACACTGGCTGCTAGCACTCCACTTTGATACGGGCCCGGTTTCTTCCACCCCAAACCGGTTTTTTTCCGACTCTTCAATTTGCATTCAAGCTTACCCTCCCACGAGACGTGTTGCGGACGAAGCAACATGTGGGGTTTTTCCATTTGACCTTTTGGGTTTTGCAGCGCAGATCACATCGGCGCCCTCCTTGGCGGATCCCAGTTCAGTGGATTCCCTTTCGGGTTCCCCATGGGATCGACCAACCTATCGAACGGGCCACTGGGATTGGCAGCCAAGTGGTTGGACATTCATCCCCGGCCTTTGTGCATTTGACGCGGGAGTCAGAAGCTCCTCGTTTCGTCTCGGCTCAGATGTGGATTTCCAGGGCTGGACTCCTCAAAATGTGTTTGAACTTGAACTTCCAGCTTGCCCCCTAAGGGCATCCAACAGGAGGTTCTGGGTTTGGGGGTTGCTTGAGGGTTAGTTCCGAGTGGGCTTAGGCTGGGTTTGGAGTCAGCTCATGGGGGGGAGGCGACTCAACTCGCACTTCAGCTGAGGATCTGACGCCGGCCCGGAGACGGCGAATTCCCTGGCGGCTTTGGCTGAAATTTGGAGGCATGTCACATGATCCGACCTCTTGGCTCCGCGTGCTGTTTCTGCATGTAGTTTCTAGGGACTTCACCTTTGCAGGGATCCTTCTTTTCAGAAAACCAGCAGAATCCAGGGGAAACAGCTGGCTTTTGAAAAGAACGGGGAATCACCCCCTAGATAATTGGGGTCACTGCGGGCTGCATTTTCATCACGAGTGACTCTGACAGCAGGTCGCTTGAGGTATATGCCTCACCGAGGGTGGAACGAGGGGGGCGTTCTGACTTCTGTGATCCCAGGAAAACGGTTACCCCATTAAAGCAACATCGGGAAAAGTCTGGTACCGTTCGACCCCGCGCTCACGCAGAGCGAACTCAGGTTGCCCAGCTCGCACTGACGCTTGACATCATCGTCCTGCTGTTACTCGGGTTGCGACCAGATGGGGTGTTCCATGTCCTTCGGGCAGGTGAGAATTTCCGCGAACCCATGGGCAAACGGTCTAAGGGCGAGACATTTAACATGGCACTGGCAGGTACCGTTTGATCCCGGGAATGATCTTATCAAATGGATTCATGAAGCGAATGAAGTAAGACAAACGAGACGGAGAGGGCGAAATCCATTTATACTTTCATGGAGAAAGCAAAGGGATCAAATCCTTTCATGAATGCATGAAGCATTATCGGGAATTCACAACATCCTTTTTATGTGTTTGGATCCATTTGAAGAGCAGACGTCCTCGCTTTGTTCGACACAAGGCTTCGCTCCGACGCGGGCCTCCAGCGCTTCTGCGACTCCTCGCCGGGGGCCGAGCGGCTTCAGCTCGCCTCGGTCATCGAGGGATTCCATCTAGCGCCCCCCAACGACTGCTTTTCTAGGTCCCCCAGTAGTGCCCTTTGACCCTTTTTTTGGGGAGGGTTCCCCTACTAAAATAGACTACAGACCTAGTTTGTACAGTGCTCATGGGATTTTGGGCATGGGAAACAGCAGTTCGTGGGGGGTGCTTGGTACTTGGAGCTTGGCGTCAATAGTTGCTTAAACCTCCCAAATGGGGAGCTGCTGCTCAGGCAAAGCAAGGCCCAGGGCTTCATAAACCTCCACCACCACTTACAGTGATGTAGTGGTTTTGTAGGGGTCCCCCCAAACAGTGGTTGTTCTAGCTGTTCAGGGGTACCCCTTTCGGCCTTGACACGTTAGGTTAGGTTTCCTGCGCACAAGGCGGAGGGCCGCTTTTGTTGTTTCGGGCTTTGTTTTCAGGACTCCATTGGTCTTAAGAAGGACGACTTATATTTGCTTAAGACTTAAGACCTTTTACGTTTCCCTGTTGCTTTCAATGGGAATCTAGTACTCAACTATGTTTTGTCATTTGCTTAGGGGGCCTTAAGCAGATGCTTTTTTGCTTAGGGGGCTTAAGCAAATGTAAGATAACTATATCTCCTTTGGGTAGACGTTTGGTTAGGTGTCCTTTGGTGTCCGGACCACATTCACCTCACCCGTTGTTTGGGAAAACCGCTTTGGGTGGTCTTGTTTATCCATCCACTGGTCGTCGGGACTGGTTGAGATGTAAAGTTTGTTGCTTGGATGCTGCTTGTGGAGGCATTGTGAGCGTTATTTTGGCACCTTAGGGAAATTAGATGTACGCCTCAGACGGTGGTTCTAAACATCACCTGGGGTGAGTTTCCGATTTCCTGTCTGTTGGATGTTTGAAGGCTGGACAAGGAAAGTCTGCTTGGCTTAATTGTTACTTACATTGAAAGGAGAGACGCAAAGCCAGGGGCAGGATATACTATAGAAAAAGGCTTTACTGAGTCAGATATTTGAGCATGGAATCAGTGAATTGCCTGTGGGATTTCATTTGTTGTGTCATTTTCATGCGGGTGCGTCTCAAACACATCAACCACCTGGTGTGTCTTACGATGGACCCCCAAGCAGGGTGTTGGGTTTTGGTTTTCCGCTAAAACGACTCCAAAAGGGGCACCGAGCCGGGGAGTCAAACCCTTCCAGTCCCGGGCCGCCCAATTTTTCGCAGGAAAGCTCGGGGCAGCGATCGCAGGGCACTCAGATTGGGTCTGGCTCTCTTTCTGGGTTGTTTACGCTGGGCCCCTTCAAATGCTTCCATGCTGCTGCACTGTTTTGTCTTGTTTTTTCTTTGTTTTTTTTTGGGGGGGTCCAGTTTCTCGAAAAGATGGTTCTTTGTTCAGTGGCGCAATTTGGCCCTGCGCTCTGGGCTCCTCTTTCTCCGCTGGGCTCCCAGCCGAGGCCGGGTCTCGCCCTTGGCCAAGTGGGCCCTGGAGGCCATCGAGCTCCTCGCGGAGCACTCCGCAGAGGCCGAAGCGAAGCGCATCAACGCGTCGCTGAAGAAACCGGTTTGATAAAAGCAAAAGAAGATGGGGGAGTGTGAGGGGTGGTGGGGTCTTGGTTCTGTTTGACTTTGGTTTTTGGTTTACAAAAAAGAAGAAGAAAACGATTCGGATTGTGTTTGATTTGGAATGGACAGGGAGCTGAAACAGATTTTTTTGACGCACACACACACACACATACCTTCCTTAGTGTTAGAGGGGATTCCGAGTAGTGAGTGGTTGGGAGCGGTCATCTCCCAAAGCACACACAACCGCCGCCGACACACACACGCACACACCAACCACTCCCAAGGTTGGAAAGCTCAACCAAACCAAAACCAAGATCTGTGTGTTTCCGGGGGGGGGAGCATGGATGGGGGCAGTTGTATGCAATACAGGAATTACTACACAAGCCCAAGTGGATTTTTGGCCAGGGATGGTGACCTTCAACCAATTGATTTGCACTTTGCATTCTGAAGCTTGGCTAAGCCTGACTAAGGCCCAAGCTTATGACTTGAGCAGTCGAGTGTGTCAAACGTATGGACGGCAACCAAAAGGCAACCACCCACAATTTGGCGTTTGGAGCTCCAAAAGCGTTGGCAATTGAGTTGGGGCACTTGTTTAATACGGGGGTACAAACCAAACAACAACAAAATCAGCAAGGCGAGAACTCAATTGAATCACTTATTTCAGCCAAACATTGTCAACTCGCCTCACGCCCCTTCGCAGGTTTCCATCGAGGCCATCAACACCGCGCTGCCGGCCGCGGCGACTTGGACACATACGGATTGTCCCACGTCTCCAAAGTGCCAGAAATCTCGAGCTCCCGCGGTGTCTTCTTTCCTCTCTTGTTTTTTCGGGGGGGCCTCCCTTCAATATGGGCAAAACATGGAGAAAGGGCATGGCTACTGGTTTGGGAACTTCTCCAAGCCAATGGACTTGTGCCAGAACGACAAACCAGGGACTTCGAAAGGGGCTCTCACCATTTCGTCATTTTGTGGATCACGTTTAGTCAGTGAGCCTAATAATACTCAGGTGGGTTATGTCCAAGCGGGAGGGACCAATTGGAGGGCTCGTGCGCAGAGTGCCTCAAATGATGCATTGGGGGAACTTAGAAGAGCACTTTGGCCATCTGATAGAGGATTTCCTTGTAAAGAAACTCTTTTTGGATGTGTGCCTGTTTAAAGGTAAGCAAGCCTTTTGGATGTATAGCTTTTACGGAACCCTGTTGCACGCTCGCCGCGCGCGCGAGAAACATCAAGGTTTGCATTCTCTCGGTGCTGCTGGATGCCACGCCCGCGGCCTTGCCCACGAACATGGACCCGGCACCCCAAGAAAGGGGCTGGGGGTCACATAGGCCCCCCGCAAAGGTGACGGGGGGGGGGTCCACTATGTCATGCGGGCTTGATCCAAGGGTCACTCCCTGAGTTATATCACTTTTTGGGAAGACAGTTTCGTTGTTCAAACGGCAAAGTTGGCTTCTTTGGCAAATCCATGTACGAAGTGAGAAGGAGACTCCTCTGAGAAAGATGGCATTTGGAGTTCCATACCAATCTGACCCCTGGCGGTTTTCAAGTGACATGGTTGTGATTGGGTATGTGCATGTATGTCTATATGTATTTGCACAGTTTTTACAAACACAAGGAGCACCCTCCCAGAAATTCCTTTCAGTGAAGCTTGGGCGACGGGGTGTTCCTACAGCAGATCTTTTGAGGCCTTGCTAGGGGCATTCCTGGGGGCGTCCGTTTTGGGATTCCATTTTCGGAGCCATAGCCAGGGCAGAATGATCAGCTGATTGTGCCGCTCAACTCTGGAGGACCAGTTCGTGCGCGCACTCTGCCAGATCCTTTCGCACAAGACCCTTACACTGTCCTCGGCTTACTCCAGATGCCTATGCCCAGTTGTTCGGTGACCTTTTTTTGACGCTTGGTGGCTTTCCGAAAAAGACTGGTCAACTCCAAAAAAGGGTTCCTTTTCTGCCTGTCAGGCCGGCAAGGTTGGAACGGTAGAAATGAAATGACGTTTCAGGGCCTGGTTTGGACCATTTTCCTTGAAAAGGGACCCTGTAATAAGTTCCATGTGGACCGGACGTGGCTGGGATGCCTGCCTACGACCATGGTGCGGGTCCCGTCGGCCGTAGGCGCCTGCTGTCTTCGTTGCTGCAGCTGGCCAAGGGCTCAGGGGGCAAACAGGAGGGAGCAGAAAGGGACCCTCGAGAAACCAACAACCTCCCTCTCTAATGCATAAGGGGGGCCCTGGTTTCTACATTCTCGGTTTCCCTTGCAAAAGGACACACGTACAATACGGGGGGGCCATGACTTCCAGTCAGCGGAATCAACGGTTTCCTCCGCAGCATGCCGTGCCGTTCGTTTGAGTGGCTGGAAATGAAGGCCCAGAAGTTGAGAGCTGACAAGTTGGGATTCTGCAGATTCAGTGGGCTTAGTTTGGCATGCAGCCGTGTTTTTTTTGTTGGCGCGCTTTGCTAGAATTGCCAAGATGGGATCCTCAAGGTTGCAGCCAGTTTGCGCGTCACTTGGGGCCAAGAAGGCAGGATGCGTGGCCTTCAGGCGAAATTTGAAGGGCCTGGTGCCATCCAGAGGCCAACAGAATCCCAACCAGTCCCAACCTTTCTGGGAGCGTGGGGAGGCCTCGGCGGCTGAGGTGAAGCAGGGCAAGCACCGGATTTGGTTCGGCAGCGCTGCTCGGCCAGCAAGTGTGTAAGTTGGAGTCTTGTATTTTTCGACGCGACTAAGGATATAGTTGACATGTAGCCATGCTCATAGCCGCCGGACTTACTAGCGCTGAAAGCCTATGCAGGCAAGCGGGAAATGTGGTTTTTGGCAGCAATTATGATCATTTTTGGACAAAGAACAGCGGCCTCACAAGGAAGCGGCGGTTGCGACCTCGCCGCATCATGAATAAATATGAATAATGACCACCTATTTCAAACACATAGTTTGCCTTGCTTTGGCAATTCCACTCAGGAAGTGAGGATGATGGCATCATGTTTGCAAGGGGATATCCTATTCATGTTGCATTAGGACTCGTTGCCATTGGCGGTTTATGAGCTCAGTATGTTTCATCCAGACGTGTTGCAATTGGTTCAGCCCCCCCTAAAAAAGCGACAAATCAGGCAACAAGGGATGGGAACATGGGGCCGAGGTCAGCGATGCTATGCAGACCAGGCACCGGAGAGCCGACAAGGTTCAATGTGTATCCCCGGGTGCTCAGTAGCCATTTCTTGGAGGTCCCCAGCCCCAGAAAGGCGTTTAGATGTTTAGCATTCAGATGGAATTATCACACATCCCACAGGTTTTACCTCAAGCAAACACAACATCAAACCTCTAAGTTGCTCTCTCAAATGCAAGCCAATAGGGGATAGTTGTTGTATATATTTTTTTTCCGGAATCGACACCCTCTTTTTTCACCGGGCCCTTTTGAGATGAGTTGGGTGGAACTATGGTGAGCCTCGTCAGGGCACTTTGACTTGAGCAAAGTTCCTGGACACGTTGCTTAGAACAGCCGGTCGTCCAGTCGCCAAAAAAGAACTGCAGCACACCATGAGCACCAGAGGTGTTGGGTGCCGAATCCACTGGTGACAATCGTTCTTTTTAGGTCGAGGCGCCTAGACACCCTCACCGGACTTAAAGCTGTCTCATGTCTCATGCTGATTTGCTCATGTCCTTGGGATGTCCATTTGCTTCAGTCCTTTCGTTCCGCTTGCGCTTCTTTTCTGGGATACGTTTTGTTCCGATCCTCCCCAATTTTGCGCGGCTCGGCCGCAGGAAGAAGCTGCGTCAGAGCCTGATCAGGCCATCCGTTGTGTGAAGTCCCACCAAGCAAACAGGGAACATCTCGGTAGTCTACGGTCCATTGGCATCGGAGACTCACGAAATTTGCCAGGGTTTCACGGCGCCCTTTGTGGAAGTCATGAAGTCCTGGCATCGCCATTCTCGGTTGCCGCTGCGAGTTCAGCAGAGCAAACGCGGACATTCTTCGTGGTGGCTTTCACGTTAGTCACTTTCCCTAAACAGCAGCCCAAAGACAAAGGGTAACAAACCTAAGAAGCGATACCCTTCAAAGAACACACCCAAATACAGGTTGTGAAGGTCAGGAAGGTGTACACCCTGCGGTTTCCCTTTGCCTAAAGCCCATTAGAGTAGGAAACCTTCCAACCAAAACTGTTTCAGACTCTGAAAGTGCACAAAGTGACACATGTTTTGGTGCCCAGAAATCGCCATCACCCGAAACGAGGGGTCTTTGGCAACTGTCGGATGTTTCCGTTATTTGGAGCAGATCGAAAGCAATAGTTGGGTGCCCTGAGGTGGGTGCCGAACGCATACCTGGAAAAAGCAACATGTGATACCATATCTGTTAGGCGCTAGGGCAACACCCTCCAAACCACAAACATGGAACGAGACTCGGAGGTCCTGGTTTCCATTTTAGTTGGATGGCATTCTGGCTGATAGACTTTGGTGACCTTTTCAGGATCTGCTTGAACATGTATGGCGTTTTTTTTTGCCCAAATGGACACCCTTGTAGAACTCGGGCGAATGGGATTGGTTCTTGTTTTGGTCCAAATGGACGCCCTTGTGGAATGGACAAACATGGGATTTAGGGCTTAGGTTTAGCAGGGTACAAGTAGCATTTCACCTCACAAGAGGCTGTGGAGGTTAAACAAAGTTGCCAGGAACAAGGTGCCTAGCCTTGTGGCCGTCGCTGCCAAGGACAGGGCCTGGGGAGGGGGGGGGGTGAGGCCCACTGCCCTTGTGGTAGTAGAGGTCGTTGTTTAGGTCCCTGGATCTATTCCGGAGAGAATCCAATATGCCACTATGGATGATTGGAGGATGGATTGTTTCTGGTGGATTGTATTGTGGATAATCCTGTAAGCGGCCTGCAAAGGTTCCTTTGTCACGCAATCATGAGTATTGCTACGATACAGAAAGGGCCTTGAGCCAAATGGCTGCGGGAGATCAATTGTGTAACAAACCAAACACAAAACAGACACAAATTTCTTTTGATCTCCAGCACTAAATATGAAATACTATTGGCTTCATGGCCTTTGGCCGTAGCCTTGCTGTATGCCGTAGCCATGTGTATTAAAAATGCCGGATTCATCCTCTCTTGACTTGCGAAATGGGAAAACACTATGTACTGCTTCTGTGAGATACCTAGATGTACAAAAGGTGATGCACAACACTATGTACACGCGGGACGAATGTGAAACTATTGATCTCTCACTGTATAGTCTTGTAGGCGGTGAGGATCAATCATCTGATTTGAGTTCGTAGTGCTAAACGCCTCGATGGTCTGATCTGTCAACGCTGTTCGCTCTTCGGAGAGTCGGATGCCATAGTCTTGGTCCTTGAGGAATGCAAGGATCAACAGTGCGTCTCTTCCTGCTGGCACATGGGTTAGTGCTGCTTCTGACTCATCGTCGTCAAGGATGACGTCATCGATGCATGCCATGTGGACGTGCATTCTCCCCGAAGGGTTGTACTGGGATTTCTTAGATTTGAGCCCGTTCTCCACGATGCTGAGGAGCTGACTTCCATAGGTTGCATGGAACATGAACGTGATGGGCTTCTTCGCGAACGGCTTGATTTTTCTCTCTTCTTCAATGGATGGTGGTGCCGGCCTTCGCATTCTGTACTTGGGCTGAGCTGTGCTTTCATCTTCATGAGGCGCCTCGGATCTTGACGGATGCGGACTTGGTGGAATGGATTCCGTTGGGAGATCATAGTCCGGTTCGTCGTGTTGAGGCTCTCTCTGCTGCTCAGAGTACAGGGGTCGTCCAAAGGATTGGATCTCGACTTGTCGTGTATGTCCGCTGTTGCATCTCACGTATAGAACTCCATCTGGGGATCGTTATATATAGAATTCCTTGCCATCGGGCCGGAGTGCATTTTGTGCGGATCTTGTGGTGAGCTTGTCGATCCATCGATTCCTTGGAACAATTTCTCCCCTTGCCTTGCGCTCATTATATGACCCGTCCACGGATGGATACACGAATGCAATCTCGAAACGTGATTTTCCATAGCTCGGGAACATAGCCATCAAGAGAAGTCCTGGCTTATTTCCAATGAAGTTCCTGGCATGTGTGATGCAGGTCAATGCATCATAGAGCTCAACGGATCCATCAGGACCCATGTCCACTTGTCGTTTGCATTCCTTATGGATGCCATGCCTTGGATCATGTCGAAGACATCCGGAAAACGATCTGCTCATTCTCTCGATTCGCTAGAGGATGAGGTCGGTGATCTGTTTCGCCTTGGATGGATCCATGTGGAAGTATTTGCAAACCTGTTCGACATTCTGGACGGTCTTCTCGAGATCAATGTTGCCGTTGTGGCATACCATCGGGATGATGTCGGTTCCGTAAACTTCGGATTGAGCATTGGTGTAGCAGCAGATGCTGTAGACCTTGATGAAGTCCATGTATTGTTTCTCTGTATGAGGTCCTTCACCTTGAAGTGTTGGCTGCCAGTAATCGTTGAATCTGGCCTTCAACCAAAACACTTTGACTCCATGCGGTCGTTCATGCTCAGGGATGAAGTGGAAGTCCGGATTGACCTCGAGGATGGTTGAGCACTCCTTGTAGTATTCGTACCCGAAGGTCCTGGGTGTACGGATTCCTTCTGGAGGCTGATGTCGGTATCTGATCCATATGTTACAAACCACCGGTCATTGGATGTGAGAACTGGCCGCATCGCTGGTCGCCTTGGAAGTGCAGGTCGATCACCAGGATGATTGTCGGATTCCGTCTCTTCATCCAGGATGTTCTTTGGTGCTGGCTTGACCTTTGAGACAAGCCTCAGTGCTGGTGGTGGTGACTTTGGAACAAGTTTTGGATGTGGCATCGCCTTCGACGTCGGCCTTCCTGCGGGAGGATGCCCTTCTTCATCTGAATCATCGTCGTCGGAATCTGGATCAGAATCAACCTGCTCCATGTTGATATTCTCGGGTTGTTGAGAGGCGGATGGATTCTCATCTGCGACTTGCTCCATGGGGCAGTCGGACGTCTCATCTTCCTCATCACAGGCAGGGGATTCCTTCAACGGAGATGCCCGTCTCTTCACCAGCGGCTTTGGCAAAAGAGCCGCGGTGCTGGATCGTCCGAAGATCAAGTTGAGAATGGGCATGTCTTCGAAATGATCGAGCATACAAGATTGCAATGGTCGGATTGGTTGTAAACCGAAAGTGGCTGCGGATGCAGACACATATTTCTTGAGATTCAAAATGGGTCAAGTGCTAAAACAAGCATCACGGACTTGAGGAATTGAAAATGTGCAAAACGGAAAAACTCATGCGTCAGAATTCGTAGACATGCGGATCATTCCCAGGTTCCCCAGTAAGCAAACATTGATTCTGCTATACCGACGCCTGCAAAGGCAATGATGTCGGGTCCGTGCTTCGTATTGTGTGCTAGCCACTCAACCAAAAACGCCTTGTTCTGCAACATGGTACGGAAAGGTGGATGTGCATCAACATTCAAGAGATTTCCGGTGAGGACGGCCTTGATGAGCTCGTCTGCTTTAGCTGAATGCTTGGTCAGCGAATCTGCCAGACAATCTTCACTCCGTACATGTGCAAGGTCGTGCATCTGTCCACTGTTGCTTTCCTTTCTCAACATCTGGATCAAATGCATTGTTTCTTTCTGTTCCGGTTGATGTGTTGTGGATGCTGTGGTGACAAGATTATTCGCATCAGTGCGGATGTGTACATCTGGGATTTCGCCTGTTATGTCTGACCAGAGACCGCGAAGAAATAATGCTGAACCGTAACAACGCATTAGTCCGTGCAACTCGGCAACAGTAGTGGACATGGTTGTGGCGGTGATCTTGTGCGTCTCATAGTCGATCAATGAGCCTCTCGAGTTCGATGAGCCCTGGCGAAGATCTCTTTGTTCTGCAAGAAAAATAACATGTGCACGTTGGGATGACTTATCCTCATTGTTGCGATGGGATGCATCTGGATAGCCAACTATGCGTGTCTTGCCACGAAGCGGCCATAATCTCATACTAAGCGGGATGCTTTTGATGGTTCTGACTGTCTTATTAATGGCGCGAACGTCCTCAATGGTCGGTGATGATGCCTTGGATGCACACCTGGAGAATTGATAGCCAATGTGGAACTGCGTTCGCGATTGTAACCAATTGATCTGACCTAGGACACTTCTGTATGCAGTATGCATTTGTGGAGTACGAGGAGTGTCGTCCTTCAGGTGTTTGTCAAAGGTGATCTCCTGAAGTTCGTCAATGGCAACATTCTGATGGACATTGATGTACCAACCGTGCTTGTCATCTCGCTTCCATTGGATGCGCTGTCCTACGAAGAATTAATCATTTTTGTCTTCAGAACCAACTTGAAAGGTTTTCGAAGTCGTCCCATGATTTCCTTCTCAAACACGTCATCCCCCGTCATAAGAACATCATCTACATGAAGAGACAGTGCTCCATGAACTTGTCGATTCTTGGCATTGTTACCAGAAACCGGATCCATAAGGTAATCAACTGCTCCTTCGAGATCGAAAGTATCTCACCAATGCGGGCTTTGGAAGCTGCTTGCCGTAGTATACATATGTACAACGGTCTGCCCTGGTTGGCACCAGTCCGTAAGAACGGAGTGCCGAATCAAGGATGTTCCACCATCTGCGGGGTGCGTCATTTAGCCCGTAGGCAGGCTTCTTCATGCGCGCTCCAATGTGTGGTGGATATCCCATTTCAGGACGGATCTGACAAATGATGTCACGAGTCTGATCGTATGCTTCGCCTTGGAGAAATGCTGTCTTCAAATCCATGTGAAATACATTCCAGCCTTTATTTGAGGCTGCTTGGATTGCAAGGCGGAAGCCACTCCTGGATGCAGCAGGACTGTCTGTCTGCTGATCATTCTTCTGCTTGTCTTGGAAGCCTCGGAGGACCCAGCGAGCCTTGGACTTCAGGAAGTTACCATCCTTGTCTCGCTTTAGGGTAAGGACCCAGCGACCAGTGACCCAGTTCCTGACCTGAATCTTGCGTGTGTCGACTAAGTCGAACACTTTGTTGTCAAGCCAAGATTTGCACTCACCTGCTTAGCTTCAAGGAATTGCTTCTGGTAAGCTCTTATTTCCGTGGCTGTAGCTTCCTTCCGCTTCTTGCCAATGAGTGCGGATGTGGATGAAGCCTTCAAGGATTCTTGCTTGGATGAGTACAACACTAAGAGTGCACGGTCATCATTGGTCATGTTCTTGCATAACTGGTCAACATGATTCTGATCTGTGTATTTCTGATGAGAGAATCCGCGTCGGGGCGATGGAATGAAGGTCCCTTTCACACGTCCAAGAAAGACAGGGTTGCCTTCGATATCTCTCGGAACCGTAAAGGATCCGGTGTTCGCACAGATCTTCTGTTCGGCTGTCATGAGTGACCAATGTGCTTCATCAAGAACGAGATCAGCTTGGTGATCTTCGTAAGATCTGGTCCTCTGAGAGTCTTCTGATTCTCCATCTTCCTGGTCAGTGTATCTCATGGTTCTTTCTGAACTTCCAGTGCCGGATGAGGTTGGAACATGAGGGATCAGTTCTTCCTCACTTTCATATTGTACCGGCAAATTTGCTGGATTGTTCGGATTGTAATTGGATGAAGATGCAGGATCATGTCTGGGAGAATGTCCAGGTGACTCATCATTGTCATCTGGCTTCTTCTTCTTCTTCTTCTTCCCAGTCTTCTGCTTCTTTGATGGACTG